ATATGATACGATACGTGCGCATTATCAAGGTACGACAGGGACATGACGATGATGTGATCACGGAGATGATGAAAATGATGAATAATAAAAACAACAATATTAATAACAATAATAATAAAACACTAACAATAACAATAATTATAAATATAATTGTTAAAATAAAAATTATAACAAAAACAATAATAATAATAATAATGGCAATGAGAAGTGAAGAAGAAGAAGATGCAGAAGGAATGATCATCAAAAAGCGTCGCTCCATTGTTGTTGCTGTATCTTAATGGCTCAGGACTTGCTGCTTTTAGGTAGGTATTTTCATTATAACAATAAATCATGCGGACATACAATATGTAGCAAGGAGCGTACACGCGAATGTAACTATCTTAGGGCTCTGGCCATTAAATGCCACGTGAGAACGCATTTAATTAATTAACATGCATTATGTATTGGTATGTAGTTATATTGGTGTATGTATATATATATATATATATATATATATATATATATATAAATAGAAATTATATATATATATATATATATATATATATGTATATGTATGTGTGCGTGTGTGTGCGTGCGTGCGTGCGTGTGAATGTGTATATGTATATAACTGTGTGTGTTAGTTAAATATGTTTATAAATATGTGGCATTGTGTTTATTGTGTACATGTTTAATGTGCATAGTTTTAATCGATGTCCAGGCGGTTTGGCAAATATTATATGGGAAGGCGGTGTAAAACATGGCAGTAAGTGTTGCAAATGAGCTGTTATATTTGGTACTTAATTCTTCATCTTCTGAGTTGCTGGATCAACAACGATTCATCTGCATTCTAAATAGTTTAGTGAATTCTCCAAACAAGGTATTTACAATCACCTAGCCATTTAGCCATAGAATATTGTCTCGCAAGCTGTTCAGTAAAAGACTTCATAGAGACAATCGGAAAAATGTGTATTTGATCCGATTGCTGTGTCATGTTGTCCTGCAACTTTCAAATTCAATACAGAACATTTTTATTCTTAAAACAATTTTGCATCGCGACAATTTTTGAAAATTTTCAAACAGCAAAAAGTTTTAAACTGGAAGTTTAATTCAAACGGATGTCGGTATTGAGTAGAAGTGTGATCTGTCGGTTCCGTCAACAATAATGTTGCTCAAAAATTGAAATCTTACTCAGAAAAAACTCACTGTGGTGGTAATCCGTGATTTTTCAATTATGCAAACAATTCATGCCTATTTGGACATTC